GCCCTGCCCTAGTGGCTGCTTCCTGTTTTCCTTTTCTTAGCCTTCTAAGGCCCTCTCCTCCCTGTACCTCATCTGCCCTCCTCCCCTGCCAGCCACACAGGCTTCCTGGATCACACTGGAAGGCTCCTACCACAAGGCCTCGGCCCTGGCTGCTCCCTCGACTCAATGTGCCTTTCTGTCCAATAAGGCAACCACTAGCCACGGGTGGCTACTAAGCACTTGAGGTGTGGCCGATCCAAACGCATGTGCTGGAGCAGGAAACGCACACTGGACTTCCAAGACTGACATGAAGAAACAACATGAATACTGTGGCTAATTTTATACCAATTACATGCCGTAAGCATGTTTTGGGTGTGCTTGTTTAAGCACAACGAATTACCAAAAATGACTTCTCCCGTCTCCCTTTGCTGAGTCTGAAGTTACGCATGCTACTTCTGGCTTACGCTGGGAATGTACTGCCCGCTCCACCCACACTGCTCACACCCCCTCATCGCCACGCCTGCGCACAACTGTTGGCTTCCCTCGAGGGACAGTGGGGCCTGACCATCCCAACACCTCCTGTCCGTCTCCTGCTTTCTCTCTGTGTCACACCTGCGCCGTCAGGCCCCTGAGCACACGGCTCACTTTCCGGGTCTGTGCTGTGTTCACAGCTGCACCCCAGCTCCAGGCACTGGGCCCTCAGGAATGAGCTGTCTGTGTGACAGTGGAAATGTCCTAGGAAGGCCTGGACTTGCCTATGGGTCACTTAGAAGGAGCAGATCAGTGAGCTCTGCAGGAGGGACCCTTACCAATCACAACGTCTACAGGCAGCTGGGCCAGCAGAGACCCGATGGGGGTGAGGGCCTCGGAGCTGTCCAGGGCCCCCTGGTCTCGGAGATACAGGATAGCAGTTTCCAGGCTGGCAGGTGGAGGGGGCTCGATGAAGGGGAAGGTCCGGGGGTCTCCTACACTCATACTCTTCATCTGAAATGAGAAGCAGATATCCTCAGGGACCACGGGAGCCACTGTGGCACAAGAGACTACAAGGGTATCAATTTTATCAAGCTCCAAAATGTCTCCCTCACAAATCCACACTGGAGGAACTGTAATCTCTCAGCCCACTAGAGCAACTGACTTCCGGTGAGCATGTGACTGAGCTGGGCCAATCTGAAAATGTCAATCTGGAACAAGGCACACTGCAGCTGAAGCACCCTTGACACCCTCTGGGTGGGGGCAGCTGGGTAGAAGCCTTGAATGGCCAGGTTGATGGACCACCTGGACTGGTCCATCACAGCAGAAAATCCCTTGGATTGCTCCTCAGCTGGGCAGGCCACCTCTGAGGGGACAGTCACACACAGTGACAGTGGGAGAATGTAACAAAACCCCTCATCACTAGGCTCATCATGGCATACAAGCCAAGTACCTCTCTGGAGAGTTGAAAGGAGGTACAACGGGAGAGTTCAGAGAGCCCGCCTGCATCATCTGGGGCTTGGGGATTCTGCACGTCCGCCTGGCCACCCTGTTCCCTGATGTTGTCGGGAAAAGAATGTCTAATGAGCAAAACATGACAGTGTCATCCCGATACTCAAGAGGCTGAGGCAGAAGAATTCAGAGTTCAAGGACAGCCTGTGAGATCCTGCCTCAACACACACACACACACACACACACACACACACACACACTGAAGAATCGAAAATAAAGTTTTTAAAAGTAACCAAAAGTGGAGAGTGTGGCTTTTTTTTTTTTTTTTTTTTTTTTTTTTTTTTTTTTTTTTTTGACAGGGTTTCTCTGTGTTGCTTTGGAGCCTGTCCTGGCACTCACTCTGTAGACCAGGCTGGCCTCGAACTCACAGAGATCCACCTGCCTCTGCTTCCCGAGTGCTGGGATTAAAGGCGTGAGCCACCAACGCCCAGAGAGTGTGGCTTTTTGCTTACATTTCCCACACTGCTCAGGCCAGTGCTTCTGAGTTTGTGTGTTGATTTCCAGATAGGATCTCTTTGTACAGCCCAAGCTGTAAAAGTTCTACACCCTCCTAATCCAGCCTCCTGGGTGTTGGGATTCCGGGCATGTCCCCTTGCCCCGTAAGCCCCTGGGACTTTAACTGACAGGTGGACAAGTCACCAGTGGGTCAAGGGATCTGAGTGGTGTCACAATCAAAATCCCTTTAAAACCTGAGTGGGATCAGAAGATGCCAGAATGTGGGCCTGTAGGAAGGGCACTGGCTTGTGCCACTCCCAGACCCACGTGGGCAGCATGGGAGCCAAGGCAGACGTGTATGGCTGCCTCGCTTGCTCTTTCTTCTCTTTTTCATTCAGTCTTTGGCAGTGAACCTGGGGCCTCACACGGGCTAGACTGTGTTCTACGTCTTAACTGAATGCCAGCTCTCTCCACGTTTCATTTTACGACAGGAACTTACATCTTAGATCACCGCACCATGGACTCACTATGTAGCCTAAAACGAACCCGACCCTTCCGCCTCCACCTCCAGAGTGTTGGGGTGACAGGTGCGGCTGCCATGCTGGGTTTGGAACCAAGGGCTCTACACATGCCGGGAAGGTGCTCTCCAGCTGAGCAGCAGCCTCAGTCCTGCTGCAACTCTGCACCCTCCTGCTCAGCGTTTCACTATGCAGTCCTGGCTGTCCTGGCACTCGCTCTGTTGATCAGGCTGGTCTCGAACTCACAGAGATCTGCCTGCCTCTGCCTCCCAGGTGCTGGGATTAAAGGTGTGCGCCAATGCTGGGTTTTGTATCAGGGTCTCATGAAGGGCCCCATGAAGATGAGTGGTGGCCTGTCATGCCAGCACTCGGAGGCAAAGGCAAGAGGACAGCTGCAAGTCAAAGGCCAGCCTAGAAGAGCTGAGTGTGATCACACACGCCTTTAATCCCAGCAATCAGGAGGCAGAGGCAGGCAGATCTCTGTGAGTTCGAGGCCAGCCTGGGCTACAAAACAGAGAAACCTTAACCCAAACCACACACACACACACACACACACACACAAAGGCAAGCCTGGGCTACATAGCAAATTCCAGATGATCCAGGAGTACATAGAGATCCACCAAGAGAGAGCGAGAGTAAGAGAGTTCTGTTAGCCATCCCATGAGGGTCCCTGTCACAGTAACTAAACCAATGCTACCCTATGAGACAAAGGTTGTGACTTAAAGGATTTAAGGAATCTGGAGTCAAAAGCCACTTTGCACTGAGCTCTGTTTGCAGCCACAGCCTTGTCTGTGCCCTTGGATCTGAGGAGCAGTTCTCCAACCTGAGTGTGGCCTCCCAGAGTGTGGACAGCCCTGACTGGGT